TACAACTCCAGCTGCTATTATATATATAATATATATATATATATATATATTATATTTATAAACAGTTTATTTACAGCTATACCGTTGGTTGTAATTCACCCACAGCAACAAAGTTAGTAACTGTGCCAAGTAGCCAGATGTCCCGTGACAAAATTAAAAACCAAAATCTGTTCAATAAAGCAGATATTTCGCCATAGAAATCCACATTTTTGTATGAACTTGCCTTTGTAGACTTTTGAGGTGCACTCAACAGGCAACGCGTCCATGTGGGTCCCGCATGAGTCTGCTGGCTGCTAGACTGAAATTCCTAGAAAGGCTCATACATTGGCCTTAATCAGGTGATATTTGTAACACTTCATTGCCTGAATATCTGGTAATGTATTTATTCATTTGTTAATGTGTATTTTTTTTCTTTTTCTCCTAAATAATTTTATAACTTGTTTTTATTTACCTATTTATTTATTTGTTTTCTTTCTTTATTTAACCCAAGCAGTGGAGGTTCTTGTTTGTTTGTTCATAAGGGTTTAATTTCGACTCAAATGTTTGTCCACCCTAAAAATAGATAATTAAATAATAATGATAACAATAATTGCTGTTTCATTGTTGTTTAATCTTCTTCCCAAGTCTGTCTGTGAATGCAAACAGACCTTTGTCCCTGCTTTAAGTCACATGTTTTTCACAGTTTCCACAATAATATGGCCCTGCACCCACCATGATGTTAATTTAATAAGTTATGCAATGCTTTTCGGTAGAATCTTTACATTTAGTGAGAACCCCAAGGCCAATATATGTCATCCTGATTTTTCTTTTTCTTTGTTTTTCAAACAACATTCATGAGCATTCAAAGACATTTCTCAGCATAAGCACAGGCCTCATGGCTAGGGAAGTTACGAGGTTGAAAAAGTCATGGATCAAAAAGCCTTCTGTTTATTAGAGTCACAGTCAATTACATGCTATTACTGTTTTTTTTTTACAACCTTACTGAACTTAACACATGATATAACACCTTTTTCTCGGTATTCCCAGAGATCTTAATCAATTTTAAAACAACTGCGTGGCACTGACATTCACCGCACAGGAAAGACAAAACAAAATATGCCTGTCGAGTTAGTGGATATTTTGACATTCAAACTGTTCCTGTTTGTGTCTCATGGAATTTGGGGGATTATTAAGATTCGAGAGCTTATTGAATATTTTGTTGATTAGTCCTTAAGCCTTTTTCACACTCACTTCTAGCCTGATTTCAGCTCTGAAAACTGAATGTTTTATGCAATTCAGGAAGAAATTCATTTTGCAAAATTTATCTCATTAAGCATGGTGGTCAGGAGTTCAGTACAACGCTGAATGACTGGCAAGATGAGCACAAAAACTCAGCCTGCAGCCACCTTAGTCGTATGACTTGTGTTGTAGGACTGGAGCACTGGAACAACACACTGCATGGCTTCATCTGTGTGTCTATAGCTTTCTGGTTGTCCTATATTATCTTGGTTTTATGACAGCCAGTCCAAGGGACACTGTGTTCACAAAACAACATGGCCTAGAAAACATTGGCTTCCAAGCAACAAGGAAAGTCCTATATGGAAGCATTCTGGCACTGATAATTTGAAGCTGGCTGGCAGTCTCTAAACTTTGTTTAGAGACTATGTTTAAACTATGTTTAGAGACCAAAAGACTGAATTAAATGTGTAGATTCAATGCTGTAAGGACATGCTAATGGCCCTGAGGTACAGACTACAGGAACAGCTAATCAAATTGGGCCATTACCTCCTCATTTTTGACAAATAAAGTATGTCTGGGCACTTGTAACTGGCTTCTAAATCTATTCAGGACTAATGGGACAATAAAGTCAAGGTTTATTTTTAAAGTAATTGTGTGCAATATACAAGATAAAGTGCCATAAACCGTAGATGATAATAAAAACAAGGGGTTCAGGCAAGCTAAATGTCAATAAAATTAGATTCATTATAATGATATCTTAATGTTTTGTTACAACAATCCAGTGTTTGTCAGAGTAATGTTTGCATTCTTTCTGGTTTCAGTGAACAGATAACAGAGGTTTAGATTACGACTGTACAATTATAGCACTCAATAGTGAAAATTAACGCTTTGCTAATGATTTTAAATGAGTACAATGCTGTTTTCTTTAATACCGTCACAATATTCTATCAAAAATCTAACAAAGGGTAAAATATAAAGTTGAGTGGGGGCCTAAAAAAGTATGTAACTATGGGCTTCAAGGTTCACTTCAGGGTCCACGAGGACAGGAGTAAATTAGATTTTGCACTTTAGTTCCACTGAGTTCAGTTAAATGCCTTCACTGTCCTCAGGAAGGAAATTTAATTTGCAGCTAGAAGTAAAAGATATAAACAAACAACAGTATAAATAAACTATTCTTAATACAACCAGCATTCCCACAAATCCAAACTAAAAACATTTTACAAACAATGAATAGTTAAGTAAGATAACTTATGTAAGTGTGAAATATTAGAGTTGCTGTGAAGTTGCTGTAACAATAAATATCAGTTAGGAAATTCCCCAAATATATCAGTACTGACATTTAATAGCTTCTATTTTTCAATGGTAAAATTTCCCACATAGCACATGTGTTGTTCACAACAGGCCTTTTTTTACAGCACACTTTAGGACTGGGGAGAGACACAGGTGCTGCTATTAACAATGAGTATGTTCAATTCAAGTGTCCCAGTACGCCCAATACCAGGACCCTGAAACTAAAGCAGCTACATGAAATTCAACCATCATCCATTTTATGGTTTACACATTGAAATGACAACATATCTTCACTGAGAAGTTTTTGTATAAAAAAAACTCTCAAATATCAGTCTAAAATCCATCACAGGTCAGGCTCTTTTAAAATAAATAAAGTATTTCTAACTATAATGATAACACCACAGAAGTACATGTGAAGATGTAATCAAGTGACTTTAGGATGACAGTTGGAGCTGATGGAAATATAAGATCATAATGTGTCTTAAAGGACTAATGTCCATTCTTTTATATCAGGATAATGGGCAGGGTTGCTGAGGAATTACGAACAGATGAATCAGTCCACTCTAATGAAATCGCTGGTTTATTTACTGCCACCTTAAGGCAGGTGATATAATAGTAATGTAGTAGTTGCATCTTACCAGAAGAGGTCGACGTTGAGAGATACTGACTGAGCTGCCAAAACAAACACTCATGCTGCCTTTAGGTACTATCGGAAATACAGCAATTACTAATTTTACACAAATGATGCAGCTGAAATTAATCATAATTTCAAGCAACGTGAGAGAATAATAACTAGTATATATAGTATATAAAATAATAGGTGGTAAAGCCTCTTTTCAATGATGTATCCTCTACGTGTAGCTAACTATCTCAACTAATTATGCTGTGTATTAACATTACTTTTAGCCAATTCATCCAGGCATTATCCGGCATGTATACTAGCTAGTGTTATGGTAACTTTGCTTTGCTAACTCATTTAAGCACACTATGTGGATGTATGAATATGTTTTGTTTTTTAAAGAAATAAAATCAACTCCTTCCAACCAGTCAACAGATGCTGTATCTGATTTTAAACTTTATTAAGCCTCAAGTCACAAACAGGCATCATCAATGGATATGGATGCTAAGCATACCTAACAATAAATCAATCCAAGCAGCATAATATTAAAAGAGAGATAAAAGGAAAAAGGGAAAAAACAAATAACCAAAACAAAATAAACACACAAAAAATAATAAAAAAAGTTAATTAAATGAATTTAAAGGGTTTTAATTAAGATATAACGGAACTTTTCTTTTCCAGTTATCTTCACGATTTAAAGGAAATCTTCAAGTCCTTTATAAATGCCACTAAACTATTTCTGATTTTACATCCGGACCCTGAACCCAACGACAACTCGTCGGTCCCGTGAAGGCANNGATCAGCTGACTGTGAGCGAGATGCTGCGTTGAAGGAGCGTTGAGTCGAAAAACCTGCTGTTATCCGAGCAATGTATGGAAAGCTGCGACCTTTAAACTGAACTACACCGTGCGGACCAAACACTGCAGCCGCTGAAAGCACGTCGGTAAGTACGGAAATCCACCGATTATTTACGTCGTGACAGCGCGAGACTGCAACGCAAACAAGCTGCAAGCTAACAGTGAATTGAATCATGTAAGAACCAGCTTTATACTGCGGTCTGTCAGTGGGGTTATTAGAAAGAAACTGGTAGATACAGCGGACCTGACGAGCTGCAGCCTGTAGTCGAGCAGTGTTCCTGGTGTTCAGTTCAGAGGAAGATCAGTATTTAGCAGAACAGAAACTGATCATATGACCGTCAATCAGCAGACATGGAGACTGTCTCTGTCTCTACTGTGCTTCACTGATGCAGTCAGTGTGTGTGTGTGTGTTGTGTGTGTGTGTGCGTGTGTGTGTGTGTTGTGGTGTGTGTGTCGTTTGCGTGTTCATTGT